TATTGTTCACAATACAAACTACTTGCATCAACATGTTTTCATGACTTATTATCAGATGAATTACTAAATTGTTGTGTTGTTGTTACCTTAAAGTTAACACTTAAAATCAACAGAGGTAGCTGGTCCTGTCAAAGAAGCCCGCCGTGTCACACCGCCATGTTTCTACAGAAACCCAGAACAGACAAGAAAACGAACGTTAACATGCATACCGTATTTTGTTTCGTTGAGTTTCACGGCCACCGTAGTTTGTCCTACACACCTAAAGCTGTGGGTCAGGGGTCAGGGGAGCAGTTGTCAGTGTGATGCATTCTGTAATATCGCCGCTAGATGTCACTAAATCTTAGAGACTAACTCTTTGGAATAAACCGCAGAAAGTATTGCTGCAAACAAAACGCGATGGGGAAAATGTGTCCAGAGTTCAGACATTTGGATGAAGTAAATCAAGATTGTTCTTACTGCAAATAATTCACAAAGGGAGATTAGAATAAGTAAAAGACAGATACTCAAAGCCTTAGGATGTCAAGAAAACCTACAAACAGATAGGCCTATAGCTAAAGCTAGCTGGCCCAAGGTTAAATTGACATTAGCATATACCACAAACACATGCTGAACCTTTCTGCTAGCAAAGTGAAGGGATGTGTTTCTGGAAAAGACAAGTCATACTAAGTCAAAACATTTTATTATTTAGCCCAAAAAAGAAGTGAAAAGGAGTCTTTAGAGTTAAGCATTACATTTGGGAGAAGTTCCAAGACAGGAAAGATAATGGTGGTCTGATATTGTATAGCTGTATGCATGACTAGCATAGGACTGTTTTTACAGTAAGACTTTTTTATTATATCAACAAATGATGTCATGTTAGCAGGAGTACTTTGAATTAAATGGTTTGTAATTTAGCTAATGAGCAGTAAAGCAGCAAAGAAAGTGGGACTCCTTTGCTTGTGTGTCAAGTGTGGTGGAGAAATTCATATTAAGAAGTTTTCTTATGACTGCAGGTGGCAGCTCAGTTTTTTCCACTGTTGCTTTTTTTTTTTTTTTTTTGCTGTTCATATCACCAGAACCTGCAACAATAGAATCTGACAAGCTCTGCTCTAGAAATTAGGATGCCTGCCAGGCCATCACTGCCAGCGAGCCATAAATGTTTCATGTGGTGCTGATATGGTAATCATTGGATCCCTACAATGACACCTTGTGAGAGTTGGATAACGATGGCTGTCTCTCTGGCCTGTGTGACTCTGGACGTGGTCCAACAGCTGAGGCACCGCCTGAAGAGTGAATCAGCCGGTTTTAAAAAAATGCCCCCAATAGGTGGATAAAACGCTCAAAGATGATTGAATGAATGAAGGTGGCGTTATAGGCGTCATACAAAGTGGCTGGTGGACGACACCTCACAAATGCACTCCTCTGAGTTAAATATGCGTCTCGTTTCATGAGGTTTGCGAGTGGGTCCAGGTGCCTGTTGGTGGCACAGACCCAGCTGGAGGATGTGGCTGACTCGCTCTGCTGGCGCTCAGGCTGGCATACTAACAGAGCCGGGGAGGTGCTTTCACAGCGAGTTGAAAAGACACCCAGGGTTCAGAAAAACACAACTCCAGCTGCATGTCCACTAGCTTGTTTGAGCTCAGAAAAGTGTTTTTTTTTTTTTTTCAACCTGCAGTTGTATTTGTGATGAGAATATCGATCTTATGACATTAACCATCAACATCTCCCTTCGCTTGTTGCATGCAAGGCTCTGAGAGATTAATTATTGGGGTAAAAAAAAAAAAAGAAAAAAAAAGAAGAAGACATTTTCCAATCACAAGGGATGAAGCAATAAAAGGCCAGCATGTCTAAAAGAGCTTAATGTATTATTTCTGTGAAGCTTGTGTAAGCCTTTTATTAAAGTGAAACAATCTTGTCAGACACCTGTTGTTCCTGCATGGAGGTATTTATCGTCTGCCTGTGTCAGCACACTGTAATCCCTGGCTAGAACATGGCTGTATTACTAGTGTGACCTATTCTTGGTCATCATAATTTCCTGTGTATGTGTGTGTGTGTGTGTGTGTGTGTGTGTGTGTGTGTTTGAGAGAGAAAGAGAGAGCGATTGAGAGGCAGACATGGTGTTGAGTGTGTATTTGTGTGTGTGTGTGTGTGTGTGTGTGTGTGTGTGTGTGTGTGTGTGTGTGTGTGTGTGTGTGTGGAGTCATTGCAGGCACCCTTCAGCGATTTCAGTCGAGCTTTTTTTCTTTCCCTGACACCCAATGTCATGCAGAACAAATCGCCTATTGCTGACACCAGTGATTTCTTGTATCCAGTGCTGAGAAGTGTGTGTGGAGGCAAAACAGTTGGGTCTTACTGACGTGGGGACTTGGACAGTTCTGTGATTAAGTAGTAATGGCCCAGGACGTGACAAGGAAACAAGGGATTTCATCGGTCACGGTGCAAGAAAAAAAAACTGCACACCCTTGGGTCTACTGGCTATTTCTGAGCAAGTGCATAATCATTTCTTGAATGTTTTGTGCACCTAAACTCTTTCAAACATTATGAAAACGCATCCGGATACAGTTTTAAGGGATTGACACACATACGAAAGTTTATAAAAACAAAGAGGACTCTAATCATCCTCACCACCTTTGCCACGCCTGCCTTGGATTCCGGTGTCTGCCTCTGGGCTTAACCCACTAATTGTGGCTGGAGATCCTCGGGTATTGTTGCATGCCTGTGGCTTGGTTATATTAAGACCTGGGTATTTTAACATCAATAATGGAATCCACTATCAGCTCAGATAATCAGGGATGTGTGCAGACTGATTTATGTGTTGTTGAGGCGCAGTGTTTTGCTCCTTGGAGAGAGAGTTGTGTTATTGTCACCCACAGCTTGAGAAACAGTGAGCAAACAGCGAGATATGGAAATAAACAGTAATTAGAGGGTGATGTTTTTTTGTCAGTATATTATAGCTGTTTGAGATTTTCAGAAATGCACTTGGGTACTCAAGGTGGCTCCTGTGTGAGGTAAAAATGGTGTTATGGGGACATCTACTGGACATTTTCAGGTATGTGAGGAGTATTATTTTATTCACATCTCCTGTAGAAACATTGGTTTTGTCTGTGCTTGTTTTGTAAAAGCAGTTATTCACATTTATTGTTTTTATGCTTTTTTTACTGTTTTAGTTGTGATGTAAATGATTACAGCCAATCATAACCACACAGTCAGTTATCAGAGTGTTTCATTTTATACCTATATGGACCTCTAGCTGATACTTAGTTACACGTCTTGGTAATGGTGCATCACTTTTTCAGGTGAGTCCTTCAAATGCCCTTATCAGTGTATAAAACATAATACTACTGTTGACGTAGTTGTGAGTAACATGCTTACTGTTGCTGAAGTGCACATGTGAACTGAGAATCAGCTGTTTTGGTCAGGTGAGTGAGCACATACAAAGAATTTGACTTCAGTGAACTGAGCTCTTAATGTATGAGACAAGCATTCATAAAAAATGAAAAATGTAACTATATAAAAAAGATATTCATGCCTACATAAGACAATCTTGCAATAATATGGAGTGCAAAGGATGCTGAAAAGAACATGATAATAAATTAAATCTAAAATGTGGATTCAATTACATCAGATTATTTTCATTGTGTGCAGTGGTTAATGACAAATTTAGAGATGGTATTAAGGTTATACATGTGCTGTACAAATCCAGATACATTATTTTATTTACAGGTAAAGTGGGTGTGTTTTTTTTTTACCGGTAATTGAATTAATATTGATGACAAAGTAAATGTGCAAAATACTGACTTGTCTTTGACTATGAAACTTAAGAAAACACGCCGATTTAACATTTACTACAGAAACCCTGCATCTCCCAGAAAGTTAGAAAGTATTTTGTCTTCCAAATAACACTTACAAAGACCTGTGTGTAAGACTGTCATTTCTTTAAGAGAATGCCTTTCATGTGCTTCAAGGACGGAGGGCAGGTGCGCACCGATACGTTTTTTGCTGTCTGCTGCAGCCTGTTACTGCCCTGATTGGTGGCAGATGCAAACCAAAAAACAACGTGTTTTAGTAAACCATGTGTTTTATATGTCATGCCTAACTTTGATAATTATTATTAAAACTAAATAAACCAGTGCGATAGTCCTTTTACAGGCTCGGGAATGTTGGCTGTTATTCAGGTTAATGTCTGCATTTTGTATACATATATTTAGATGATAATTTAATGGGCAATATCATAAAGCTTCAAATAAAAGCCCATCCCAGTTTTAGGCCCAGTTTTAAAGACTAGTAAGTGAATTAAAAATAAGGAGAAAAAAGCAGCAAGACACCAAAAATAAAGATGTAGGCTACTTCAACATCAGTCCAGAAAAAGACATGATGATACTATGCGTACCAGCTGTGCAGCAGGTTGGCATACTGTCTTAAAAAGCAAGATCAAATCAGGGATTTACAACTTCATTTGTTTATTGATGTCCTAAATCTGTGCACGGTAAAATGTTCCTAATATATTCTTTGTTCTGTAAATTTACTGTTTTGTTGTCTATCCCATCTTTGACGTGTGCAATTTTCTTTTTTTTTACAGTAATTATTTAGCTTTGTTAGGCAACTGAATAAAGACTATTCAATATATAGGACGTTTAATGGGACTGGCCTACCATAAACATCAATGAGAATACAACCCATTTATAATGAGTAATACTGTATGTAATATATCACGTTCTTATCGAGGTCATTACATAATAACTTCAGTGTTTACATGTGAATAAATACAGAAAAGACGTCTCTGATGGAGTCGTAAGTCCAGCTGCTCCCTGACCCACAGATATGAATGACATTCCACTCATCCACCCAGCACGTCATAACGCGTGTGACAGCCAATCACATTTCAGGAAAAGGGACGCTCGTTTCCTGACGGACAGCGGTCTCATCCAATCAGAGCTTTACAACAGGCCTCAGCGCCCACCTTTATTCCTCGTGCAGCCAATTAGGTGGGAGCAGTAATTACTAATTCATTACATCGCAAAGGGGAGTGACGCAGTTATTGTACATCCATAGCTACTCCATGCTTTTTTTGCTAGATGACCTGAAATAACACTTTTTTTTTTCCTCCCCCCCACCCAAAACATTTTTGACGTCAAATCCCTTTTTTTTAAAAAACGAAGAAGAGGGATTCCTTGAAGCTGCATGTCGAACATCTGCTCCCCTTGAAATTTGGATGCCATTCCGGTTGGAGGTTGCGGTGCACCCCGAGGACTAGATGCGATAACCAGGACGAGATATGCCGCAGCCGAAATCACGAAAAATCGCCATCCTCGGGTACAGATCCGTAGGTGAGTTCCCACGAGGAATTTGAATCTAAAGGTGTCCCGGGATTGCGACGCAAAAGGTCGATTTCTGCGGCCTTTTCTGGTCAATGTAAATCGCGGTGTACGCCTCCTATAATGGACTTTAAATTATAGAGAGTACGGTCTGTCCCGCAGCGCCACCAGGTGATGTGCGTGGCCTTGATGGGGTGTTAAAACACGAGGCCTTCCCAAAACATTATGTACTGGATGGTTATTTTAGCGCGAACTGGTGTAAATGATAATCCCCCCCCCCCCCCCCTCCCCATCAGTGACCCCCCCACCCTGGCGGCGTTGGCTGGAGCCATGCTGTGTGCAGGCCTCTGACAGGACCACGGAGGTTTGACGCATTACTGTGCAGTTTATTTTAGCGTAGTTTGTTTGTGTGGGGTTTGCTGTGGACGTCAAGATGGCACACACAGATATCACGGCTGGAGGCCCAGAGAGAAAAACCAAGATCTCTGTCATTTCCCCCACAGTGACATCTTTATAATGCTGCACCTCACATGCTGCAAATTAAGGGTTTTTACATGGTGTTGGCATTTTAATTATGAATGACGCCTATTGAAGCTGTAGTATATTTTCCATTATGTCAATATTACAGCTGTTCACTGTTCCTAAATCAAGTGAAAGTCTATGTTCTTATTTTTGGGATATTTTGGGGGATACATTTGAATATTAGATTATGTTTTGATTATTATTGTTTACATTCACGTGAGTTATTTCCATTCCTTTATTTTTGCTACTTGGGGGCATAAGGGTGGAGTCTGTACATGGGTGTGTCTATTTAGCCATTTAGCCAGGTGAGACTCAGGTAGGCACCTAATGGGTTAATGGGTTTTTTTTTTTTTTTTACCAGGAAGCCAGGATGCAATGGTAGGATGACAGGGCAAGAGAGACAGCAGTGTTTTTTTGTTGTTGTTTGTTGCACGCTTGATGTCTCTGGATAAAATAAACCACCCTAAAACCTTCAATCATCATCTGGACACTTATTAATGTATCCTGCGTAAGATTCACCCTCTAGGTGCCTCAGTGGCTTTATTATGAGTTTGTGTTAAGTTTATAATTTGTTTGGAATTTTTGTTATTTATAGACTATAGATATCGCCACTACAGTCAATATGATAACCAGCTATCTGAGGCCTCTCAGTCCTCGGCTTAATACATCCCCGAGCTACAATTTAGATGAATAAATGAATATTATTATTAACTTTTGATGCCATCCACAGTGTAACTCCCTGGCCATTTCTCTGGTGTGAGTGTACAATCTAAAAACAGCTCAGCCATGAAGACTACTTTCACAAAGCTCAGCATTTCTTGTTTTAGTTTTCATGTAAAAAACAAAAATGTGTGTGTGTTTTCTAACCCTCTCATGTGCATAAATTGTCAGACCAGATACAAGGATGTAAGGAGAGCATCTTTTAATACCATGCAATCAGGTTAACAGCACTACAACCTTAAAAAAAAAAATGCAATTTTTGCACATGAGAGGGTCAGAAAACACACACACACACACACACACACACACACACACACACACACACACACACACACACACACACACACTACAACCTCAGAAATAACCATAAAGTACAAGTATTTTGATCTGAAAGTGTCCACAGTGACAGTGTACCTATGAAGTAGCCAGTGGGTGTGTTTTCCACATTTTGAATGAGCTCTAAACATGCACATGCTCAATGTTGACCATAGTCCTCTTGTGTTTTGCAGGAAAGTCCTCCTTGACGATTCAGTTTGTGGAGGGCCAGTTTGTTGACTCCTATGACCCTACAATAGAAAACAGTAAGTCGATTTATTTTTTGCTACACACTGACACACGGACAGGGTTTCCCACAGAAAAGCGTTGGGAGAATCTGATCCTGCTGCATCTCACTGTCGCAATAGACTGAACACAAGTCAATGGTACTTAGTGTGATGTAAGCAGAGGTGGTTTTCAGACCAGGTGGTCTACCTCTGCTGTGAAAAAAACACTTTAGGGTGCGTTACATCTTTTGTAGTCTTCATATAACGGGATTTAGGCTATACTCTCTGAAGTGTACCTATACTGTTTTCCTTTCAGCCACTTCTCCTGGCTTTCCTTGTGGGTTGCCATGGAGATAGCTATTATCATGTGACCTTAATATGGAAGTACAGTCACATGATGAGCAGCTGCTCGTATATATAATCAAATGCACTTCTTCAATTCTGCAGCGTAAACTATAGAGCTTCAGCAAGCTGTATCGTTTTCATAATCGATTACCTTGTTTACTACTTTCTTGACTTGTCGCTAAAATGTCAATAAGTTGCAAAATATAAACCTCCTACGATCAATAGATCAAAACTTGATGAAATAGGTTTAAATATTGAATTTACAATGAAATGAAACTGAGACAAGCAGCAGTTTCTCACATTAATAACAAGCAGGAAGCAGAGAATATTTAAATAATCCCTTAAAGTATATAAATGTATATCTACATTACACATCGTCTCATTTGAATACTGTATGATATTTACACTTATGTTGCACATTCCTGCACAGCTGTACAGCTCCTCCATTGCACCTTGTTGTACGTATTTCATTTAATATTGTGTTTTTAACTTGTTCTTTTAAAGATCCTTTGACAGTAGGAGTTCTGCTGCACTCTTTATTCTGCCTCCCTCTACATTATTTTTTCACCAAGACAAATTCCTTGTTTGTGTCAACCTACTCGGCAAGAAACCTGATTCTGATTCTGATTCTGAATGTGAGTTGATTGACCAGGATCACCCCAGTTCTTTAAACTTTGAGTCCATATTATAGATAATACCCATTTCCAAAATCGGCACTGAATTTTTGCCTCAATTCTTTAATTGTACGCCTGGAAGATAGATTCTATATCATGATTTTATTTATAGAAATATGAGAAACTGAATTTATTCCTAGCAGTATGCAAAGTGTCCATCAGTATTAACTAATCCCGATTAATACACATTCATACGCTGCCGACAAAGCAGCGGGACTTAACTTGGGGTTAAGTCTTGCCCAAGGACACATCAGAGCCGGGGATTGAACCCTGACCTGAGCCACAGCCGTCCGTACTGCTCATACGAGTTTGCACATCACAGGCTCAGAGAGAGGACATCTTTCTTGGAGCTACTTTAGCAAACAGTTTGTTTAGTTTTTTTTTCTTTGGTGGGAGAGAACATACTGTAATTCATCAGCCTCCCAAACACACATATTCCCAGACACTCAGGAGATTTGAGTCTAAACTTCCCCTGTAGGCTGTTTTTTCCCCGACATGTACGCTCACATATCACCCCGTGTTTCTCGACTGTGTGGTCTGTTTCTATAAATAAAGTCTGGATGCTTAACATATAGTGAAGTGTCAGCGTTATCAGCATGAAGCTGCGGGCAGAGCGATGCCTCAGCCCTGCTGTAGATAATATGACCCATCTCCCGGCAGATATCGACATTTCTGTTGCTGAATGAACTCGGTGGCACCGAGGAAGGATCCATAACGGGACTGCGTCTTGAGATTTGCACACTGAAAGCGTCGTAGAGAAATGAAGATGCAGTCAGCTATATAGTACAGTGTGTGGCGATGTACTGCTGTGTGGTACTTTAAAAGGGATTTTCTCGCTTTCAGTGCATTTAAGTGTTTAATCTGAATTATCTACAGTGAGTATTTAACGTGTCTCCTCTCTTCTACCTGCAGCTTTTACTAAAATGATCACAATAAACGGACAGGAGTACCATCTTCAGCTGGTAGACACCGCAGGACAGGTATGACTCAGTGTGTTTCTGTCGTCTGTCAGCCATGTATTGATTTGAATGCCAAATGTTGTGTTCCCATGATTGTGTTATTCCAATAGTTTGGTGTTAATTCTGCTTCATTAATTAGTCAGATGGCATTTCATTCCTTTAGCTTTGCATACTAATTGCTTGAAAATGTTCTCTGCCTCTGCAGGATGAGTACTCCATCTTCCCACAGACGTACTCCATAGATATCAACGGTTACATTCTGGTCTATTCAGTCACGTCTAATAAAAGGTAATCTCTTCTGCTCTAATAAGGCAAACAGTATCCTTCTTCTTATGAATGATGAAGAAAAAAAAATGTTTCCCTCGTGTCTTCCAGCTTTGAAGTTGTACAAGTTATCCATGAAAAACTATTGGACATGGTGGGAAAAGTTCAGTAAGTATTTCTTCTTCCTTTTCTCTTTCTTCTTCTTCATCCTCTTCTTTTGCTTTTTTTCTTCCTCTCCCACTGCTTCTATTTCCACTTCATTTTCTTCTTCTTTTTCTGCTTCGTAGCTCTCTTCTTCTTCTTCTTTTTCTTCTACTTCTAGTTTTTCATTTTCTTCTTTTTTTTCTTCCTGCTCTTTTGAACCCAGGCTTTCTAAACAGGATGTAATTCATCATTCCAATCTGACAATATGATCTGTGCTTCTCCCTCTCATGCAGAGTACCAATTATGCTAGTTGGGAACAAGAACGACCTACATATGGAGCGGTACGTCCAATCACACTCCTTCATTGTACATGAGGTCAAACTCATAGACTCTTCTAGGTACACACAGGACGTAGCACGTGAAAGTTCAAGTCACAATTTTCCCTCATCTTTTTTGTGGGCTCTTAATGGCAGGAATTCCAAACTCAACATGCAGTCTGACACGTGATACACTAAAGCCCTGAGTAAACGTGCTTTTAACTGAGCAAGACTTCAAATCAGTGTACTTCTAGTGATGAAAGATACAACAAAAAACTCAAAGTACTTGGTGTTTTTGAATCTCTGATTTTTTTAAATATTCAAAATCCCCCCCAAAAAACACCAACCAGAATTTACATTCTTAAACACTTCAAATCCATTATCACCCCTTTACCTTTTCTGAAGATTATTTCCTTTTTAATAGCAGTTATTCAATTAAATTATCGCTACACGTCAGTGAGATGCAGTTTGCATAAAACCGCTCGGAGCAGCATGGAGCTGAATGGTGATGAGTCGGGAAATGACAACATTGGAGACACCAGAAAGCCGCTACGACAATAGCAGAAAGTTTTGAAGAAAGGTTAATAGATCAAGTCGGCAACCACCCGCACTGTGATGTGTCATTGCCGTTGCATAGCAACAAACATACGTGCCAAAATAGCTGGCGACAATAGCTGGCTAAACACCCTCTGATTTATGTGGTGCTCCCTCTAGAGGAATACTCCAGTAGTACGCGTGGTTGAAAAGCGAGTATATTTGAGCCTTAATAGGACTACAGACAGGATTGTAATGAGTTCACTGATCGCTCTGAAGAAAAGGTGAAGTCATTTCTCTGTGTATGTTTACTCGATGGAAGTGTTCACTGGAGTCGTTTCTTTAGAAGCTGACACTGCAGCCTCGATATGAAATATTTATGTGTGTTATTCTGATCCACTTACTCACCTTCTGTCACTCTGTGTGTGTGTGTGTGTGTGTGTGTGTGTGTGTGTGTGTGTGTGTGTGTGTGTGTGTGTGTGTGGGCAATATTTTCTTTCTATAGAGTAATCAGTTGTGAAGAAGGAAAAGCATTAGCTGAGTCCTGGAACGCTGCCTTCATGGAGTCCTCGGCTAAAGAGAACCAGGTAAGAGGCTGACACAGCAGAGCGTTGGTGAAGCAGCGAGCTTGTTGTTTATGTTTAATTTGAAACAGTTTAGCTATCCGTTTGAAATGCCTCATTAGAATAACATTTCTTACTCTTATATACTTATCGCATGCTTACATTCGTAGTAGTTGTCTTGAATTTGAATTCTGAACAGTCACAAGGTTTGATGTGATTTGTCAGACAAAAGGATTCACTCAGTTAAAGTTAGAATCCTTAACGGCACAATACAGAAATTGTGATTAGAATTTTACACTAAAATAAAATCGACATTCATTAAAAATGGACTAAACCGATGCTTTATGTTTTTGTTGTTCATTACCTCAAATATTTCCAACAGTTATCAAAGCCAGAGAAATCCTTTATTTGATATTTGTAACGGGACGTGTCTTGTCGTGGCGGCCGTCATGACATTCACAACATGTTTATCGTTACCATGGAAACTCTAGATATTACGTCAAAGGCGGCTGCATTAGGAAGCAGGAAATGCCACTGAAAGCTGCTTCTTTTGCTGTACGTGCTGCTGAAGTTGAAACATCATGTAAATGATACTTGTACACATTGGCTCGTCGATAAACATATTCTCTTCCTCAGTTCAGATTCGCCCGTTCATCTGTAGTGCAGTCAACTCGGAGTTGGTTTTCACCAGGGGTTGTGGGGGGTGGGGAGCATGATGGGGGGAGTAGCAGAGAGAAGTCCCATGATACCCTGCCAGCTTTTGTTACTGTTTTGATTGAGAGCCCCCTAGTGGCAGAATTTACAAGCTCTGCGTTTAAAGGCCAACTCCCTTTAATTCTCTACATCAGATCCTGTGTCAAAAGTTGAATGAAGTCCTCCTTTGCTCTGAATGGACATTTCAGAAAACTGAAGTACATGAGCTTGTAGACAGATGGAACAGATGGATGGATGGATAGATAGATAGATAAATAGATAGATAGGCAGGCAGGCACTTTATTGTCATTGTATAAAAGAACACAGCAAAACTTTGTTGACAGCAATCCTGAATAGCAGGGTTACGAAATCTGGTCACATTTATAAAAATATGGAAATATATACGTAGTTATGTAGCTGTGTACTTCTCCTTCTCTTGTGGATAGTTTTGAGGTTTTTCCGCTAGAGACACACGTTTGCCCTCAGCATGCTGATGTTTCATAAAGTTCACAGCAATGAGGACACTACAGCAGCGGAGTAGTACATTTATAAAGAGAGAGAGAGAGGAGAAGACATACCTGTGAAGCCTTTTATCATGCAACATGTCAGCTGAATGAAACTGTTCGTGGTAAATCAGAGGTTGCTACAGCACAAACACAAACACTACACGGAGCAGTAAGAAGGGATTGTTCATGTTGATGATAAGTCAGGTGTGTTCATGATCGAGGACGTCTGACTTCCACGACTGTTATAACGCATTCTTCAGTATTGGAGGACACTTTTATCCGAGTTAATCGCTATATGGACAGCAGAATTATATGGGATGATATAAAGTTGCATTTTGGGAAGTGTAGTCTCGGGCTGTTAATTAGGTCAGAGTATTTCTGCATGTCTGCTGCATACAGTTTGACAACTTTAAACTGCAAACAGACACCTTAAGGAACAAGTTGATAAACTAATCAAGTTAATCTCAATAACTCTGAAAACACTGCACTGTAACTACCTCTTATATCCTATAACTGACTGAATATACTTCATTGTCTGTTTCATCTGAAGCTCTTTGAATAGCCTGCTTGTTTGATTGTGCTCCGTCAATGAACTTACCTCGCCTTCAACTTCCCTTCAGAATCAGCTCTTCACATCTGGAGTGACGAAAGAAAGAAGTACAAAAAAAAAAAGAAGTACAATGTGACTGAGTATTAGACTTAAGTTCGTCAGGTGTCCAGAAGCATGGTTTCAAGATAATAAGAAAGACATGTTCACACAAATACAAGGAGAAAATATTCAAATAAAGATAAAATCATGTGAAATCATACCAAAGTAGAATATTTTAAAAGAAACACAAAAGCAATCTGATTACATAATAATTATTTATAAAGTACAATACAAGTGAATTAAAACAACATTCAAAAAAATAAACTTCAAGCTTAAAGGCTCATTGAAAGGGACGTGAAAAAATAAATGTTTTCAACCTTGATTTTAAAAGTTCACGTTCGGAGCACATCTCATCTCTCACGGCAATTAGTTCCAGTTCCAGGCAGCGTAGTGACTTAAAGCTGCTTCACCGGGTTTATTCCGGACTCTGGACTCAACAAGGTGACCAGAGTCAACACATCTAAGGTACCTGTTTGGCTGACACATTTTAAACATGTCAGGAAGTGTATTCTGGGCCTACAGCGTTCAGACTCTTGTAAACTAGTGGTTTAAAATCTATTCTAAAAATAAACCTTGAAACAGTGCAGAGATTTTAACACCGGAGTAATGTGCTCCTTTTTTTTTCAGTCCTGGTCAGAGTTCTAGCTGCCGCTGTTTCATCGTCTTTTTAGGAAGTCCAGTTAGAAGACCATTGCAGAAGTCAACCCTGATTGAAATAAAAAAAAGATCAAGTCATGCAGATCTAACATTAGTTAAAAAGAGAATCTACTATTCTTTACATCGTCTTTATTCTGATTTAGGGAGGGGCTTTAGCTCGGCTGACTGGAAGAAAAAGTAAACGAGAATGAATTCTTTTCACCTATTTCCCCTCCTTCTGGGTGAACATCACCTCAGTGTTTCACATTCAGGAAGTCTGTGTATCTGCTCAAAGTCAAATTGGCAAACAATGTAGCCGGACTGATTTCAATGAAAGAAATCTCTGTTGTGCTTAAAGCCAGGCATGTACTGCACTGGATGTAGTGCATGCCGCTGTAACATTCAGAGTAGTGTGACTGAGACTCGTGACAGCGTTTGTGAGTGTGTTTGTGTGTCTCCCTTTTAGACGGCCGTGGAGGTTTTCCGGAGGATGATCCTGGAGGCAGAGAAGATGGACGGCGGCGTGCAGCCAGGGAAAACCTCCTGCTCCATGATGTAGAGCCGCCCAATCAACACACAGGACACTGCACTGGGAAATCCCGTTACTTGAAGGCTAGCTGCCAGTTCTCCTCCACCTCAGCTGACTCCACCCCCTCCAGGGTCCTAAATATCCAATACTGTCTATTTATGGCTCTGATTCCACTGTTATTTATCAGTATTCCCTTTCGTCATCCTCGTTTTTTCTTTGTGTGTTTGATAAGAAAATGAAGGATGAGTGGTGGTTCCTGTGTCTTACATTTTCCCACAATCCACCTCTCCTCCTCTATCTCTGTGCTCGGCACCGATGCAAAACACAGAACATCATATGGGTGTATCAGAAAAAATGTTTTCCCTGTGCTCGGTAATGACGACAACCGTAACCAAGGCCAGAGATGGTAGAGGCTTGATGCATCTTAGCTTCTCATTATGCAGCTCCCATATATAGGCTACGAGCCCCTCCGCTGTTAAAATAACAAGAGATAAGAGAAATGTCATGTCTGCCATGCACACGCTCTGAGAATGGATAAAATGAATCGAGACGTTTCTTCTGATACATCATCAGCTGTTTGGTCTCGCCGATATATACAGCTCTTTTTCTACTTCATTTCCACGCAGTGCCCACTTCTCTCTGTCCCTCTGTTTCTTTTCATAGCGGTTTCTGTCAGCCAAAAATTTCTGCATCCATTTTCTAATGTTGAAAATGTTGTACAAATGTTTTTGATTGTAATCATTAAAGCAAAAAGTGGTTATGTAAAGCGGGGCTGAGTGTGATCATTAACTCCGGCTAATGACCCGGGAGGCAAGGCCACTTCATTTACTGAGCGTCTTTAAAGATGGCGCCGGTAGCTTATTGGTTAGTCAAAAAGCGAAAACCTCAAAGCAGCCGGCCCGGTTTTGAATCCGACCTGTGGCTCCTTTCCCGCATGTCACTTCCCACTCTCTCTCTCTCTCTCTTCCATTTCTGACTTTATCCACAGTCCTGTCTCTAAATAAAGGCATAAAAATCACCAAAATAAACCATTAAAAAAATACACTAGTACAACTACAAGTAGTATTTATAAATGTCTTGAAATCTTATTTAAATAAGCTCTGTCAGGTGTGAGGTCAGGATGAGTCTAGTTATTCCACATTTGAGATATCTGAAGTCATGAAATGTTCCCCAAAATCCCCTGTCACGATGACTTCACTGTTCAGATTCCTGACATGGAATTTAACATTTAATCAAACAAACAATGCACTCCTGACAAAGCAAACATGAACATAGCCGGAGAAATGACAACTAGGGATAGATTATAAAACATGGTTAATGCATATTCATATTCATGTATATTTGATGCTATGAACAAACAAAGTCAGAAGTGCTAGAAGAGGTCGTTTTTCTTCACTGTGAGGAACTTTTTGATTTACGTCCATATTCCACACTCATTGTTTCTTTGATGATTTTCTTCTGTGCATGTGTTACTAATGTTTTTTTATTAGTATTATTATCATGCTGCTTTCTTTTAACAGCCTAGAGTATCACTCACTGGGAGTGTGTGCCGTGTAACTAACGTGTCATTAAAAGACAGCAGTGCAGTAAATTAACTTCACATAACAACCACGACCCCACACCGGTGGTTTCATACATTACAAATAATAGAGGAATCTAAATGTTTATGTTAATGGCTTTGTTTGCTTTTGTAGGTAATAAAGAGGCATTAATATTAATTTGTCTCATAACCAGTAAAAAACGTTTTTCATACATACAGTATATCTACAGCTGTCAAAGACAATTAAAGGGAAACTCCACATATGTGCAGGTGTGTGAGGGAATCATTTTCTCAGATTGTTTTATTTTTCAGAAGTTTTATTTCTTTACAAAGACGCTGCTTTGATTTCATACATGTTTGTATTCAATGTGGAACCTGCTGAAGTCTTGGTTTGAACGCCCTCATTAAACAATACTCCAGTATTATGTTCTCATTCACTCTGTTATTCTTTTACCATAGAGTTTAGAAGCTGTTGCACATATCTTCAGTACAGCAATGTATGTTGATGAAGGAGTTCATCTTCAGCATCTCGCAGTCAGTCAGCCTCATGCATTTCTGAAACTGTGCAACTGAGAAAGTAGAAAAACAGAACGAGGGAAAGATTAGAAAAGTTTCATTGAACGTTAACGAAGAATTCATATCTCCATTGATGCCCTGAGCTAATTAAGTTCCTGATGGTTTTCAAGTGTCTACTACAGTAAACAATGAAGATTCAGAGCAATGGAGCAATATGTAAGATATCTACTGAATTAAATCATTAAACGACCTTACTATAGCATCAGACTTTAAGGAAACATGCCGTGCCTCGGTTTACCAGTGAAACGGCAAACCAAAAGGTGTTCCAGCGATGGAAGCGGGCAAGCGAACTGGTCCAGATGATTGGTTCTACCCCGAGCAAAAAGGGACTGCATTTTTCTCATAAGCTCCACGACCAGAAGCGTGGTTAAACTAACCCTAACTGAATTTAATTGAAAACTAGGACAAATGTTGGAGATGCTTTTGAGAAATGGAGAGAGGTAAGAACACACAAGGTTTAAAAAACCTGATGCAGAGCTGGCTAAACACTGAAGCTTCAATGTCTGCGAAATGGCAGCCTGCTTGCACACAGATTCTAGGGGAGGAGGGGAGCGGGGTGGAGACAGCTCTCTCCAGTGTTTTATTCATTTGGACTGCAGTACCCATTTTAAACACTACGTGTCAGAGTTACATATTGCTCCTTTGAATCGTATGAATTTTTGAATGACCAAAAAGATTTGAGGATGTTGGGAAACTCACATGGTTCGCTGAGGAACTTGGCAGCACCACAGGCGTCCTTCTCTGGTGGACAGGTCTCCACGCTGAGCTCACAGGATCCTCCGGCCTTTTTGGAGACACAGCGGTGACAGTCCAGGGCTTCACCTATACAAACACCAACGTGAAAACTTTCACTTTTTATCTTTCCTCAAACAACAGGTAGTTAGGACCAAACAGTCTGAGTAGGCGAGAAGCATCCCATGAGCGCTCATATAGAGAACATCATCACTGGGACTCTTTACAGTATCTATCAATTCGCCTCAGACAGTCAATTAACATCAAATCAAATCTTTATTAATCTGATACCTCAGAATTACATGATAGACTCTTATTAAACTGGTTACATGACAAATGAAAACATACAGATGTTGAACTCTATATCAACACTCATGAAATGCCTCTTGTCCAATCAGAACACTCGGTCAGAACTAACTGTTTTATGTTGAATTTTTTATTACTATTTGCCGCGTGTAGAACTTAAAAAAAAAAAAAAAAAAAAAGAAGCAACATCACACTAGTGGGGTTGTACTAAGAATCAGCTGTGCTATTGTTAACATTGGCACTAAGTAACCATAGTGACTACGACGGGATTACAGTTCAGATATCCAGTACACAATCACTCCCTCTCATGGTGTGATATCACTTATTTTCTTCGGCCTGTGCTGATTTAATTCTATTTCTGTAGGAATGCATCCTGTTTTTGTTTTTTTCTTTAGCCAACAGTGATCGTCCAGAGCCTCTGTCGGCAACTTCAGGCTAAGATGTCCTCTTCCATGCTTTGCCATTATTAACAGTCTCACTTGAAATGTCAGAGTTGGAGTTTAGAGAAGACGCTTAAGCGCAATTTTAAAGCTAATATGGCAACACATCTGACTCACAGAAGTTGTGTAATTTCTTTTCTTACACATTCTATAGTGATGTAGAATGTGGATAAAGCTGTGCAAGATCCTACACTCTAAGGATCACTTCTTAAATATTATCTTCTTTTCTTAGATAAGGCTACAGTCTGTCTCTGAATGAAAAGAATGCCTGCTGAGATTCATCAGCGTTTGTGTGCACTAAAGACTAAAAAAAGAGACAGCAGACGTCCCTGTTGCACAGCAGGATTTGTTTATTCAGTAGAGAATCAGTGACAGACTCACCGGCTGTAAACAGCAGGGCCACGCTCAGAGCCAAAACCAACAGCTTCATTGTTCTGTCCAGTGTTGCAGCCTGTATGAGACAGAGATAAAGCACACATTAAGATTATCAAGTTTTAGTTCTTATTTTCAGATTCATGTCATGATTCCAATCAAATCACCATTTTTAAAGGGGACTTCCTTATTTCTAGGAACTGATTTTAAGTCAGAATTGAGAAAAATTTAACTTTAATGCACACCTTCACACAGTTTGATTGACAAGTATATGTGGCAAAAAAATGTTCAGCAAAAATTCATTTGATATAAAAAATTATAAATTTAAGAACATAAAAGAGCAAAACAGCCTTGTTGTTTTTTCACATACCTCCCTGTTCTGTCTGCTTCTGTTCCTGCGAGCGACTCAGACATCTTCATCGACTTCCCCTCTTTTTTATACCCGTTCATACTTTGTCCTGTCATGGTAACGTCCCATTAAGTGCTGTATCTCTGCTGTGTCAATATGCTCAGCTCCCGCTCGCCCTGCATGGGTACACTGTGTTCAGGGGTTACACTTTCCCAACGCTTAGATTCCTGCATTATGCAACAGCTGTCCTCCATGTGTCCACTGCTGAGGAGGATTTATGAGACTTTCTTCTTTTTTTTTTCAAATACCAATATTTGCATTTGTCACCGGCTCAAATAAAGATTTTCATTTGTTGGATTTCCACTTTACAAACACTGAAGGTAAAATATGTTTGCTTTCGGTGGATATGAATAAAAGGTGTTTTACATTTAGCTCCCTCCCTTTAATGTTTAAAAACATATACGCCCGTCGCCCGCCCATTCAGAAATTATAGAAAAAAATGACCAAAAGACCAAAAGACCAAAACATTTTCAATGTTGCAGAAAAAAACACGACCTCCAGTATATGCTACTTAAGTCCAATTCATTACAAATTATAGCATACAGAAAATTGCTCAAATATAGACACCGCTGGTTTGAAGCTTTTAATGCTTTACTCAGAAATAAAATGGCAAAGAATCCATTTAGGAATCTCTCAAAAGGCCAACTGATGGATAAATGGAGTGAAATCTATTTGCATAGAGTGCAGAGTCCATGTGGGTTTTAAATAATGACATGGAAGTGCTGCTTTAGTGTGACTGTCAAACCTTGACAATCTCTAAAAAAAAACACTCAAGTGCAAAAGAAGATCCTTTTAAAATGTGCCTTTTTTCTCTGGTTGTGTCGAAACAGATTGAAAGATAGAATGGCTGAAGTCAAACCATTCATGAAAAACAGGTTTTATGTTCTATTCAACCTGCCTGACCTTCAAACTGGTGGTCTTTTCATGTGGCGACCGAGGCGTTATTAACACCTGGCAGTTACATATTCAACCTGGGTGATTGGATCACTAGTGGATAGCTCTGAGTACAGCTGTTCACACCTAAGTAGTGGGATATGGGACCACAAACCCATATTTTGTTCAAATCTTACATTAAATGAGTTGTGTTGAAAAATGTGTGGAAGTACAAAAATCATTGTTCATTTTTACAACCCGGTAAAACATATTTTGATCTCTATCGCTTATTTCTTTGATATCACATCAGTTTTGATTATTAAGGCCTTAAAATAACAATGGATTACGTGACTTGGACTACACCGATGTTAAAATGTGGCAAGAAATCCACTTTGGGGTATTACAACTGATCTGCCTGGTTTAGTGGTGTGAGAATGGGACTGGGACTGGGACCACACCTCATTGTGTCTACGTTTTCCCAGTCTCTCATTCAATAAGTCAAACATCAGATTTTTAGTTTGAACTGTCTCACTGCTTTAACTTTGCCCTTTCGTGTTTGTTTTTCCCCCTCCGGTCTGGAAAGCACCCAAATATTACTCTACAACACCGACTCAGTACAACATCCCTCCCAAAACCCAGTCAAAGCAAAATACCCCATCGTATTGTTCGGCCCCTCCAGAGCCAAACTCCAATATCAGCACTGGCACATGTAAGAGAAACTGCCCTGGTTGCAAAACATCTAAACCCCCCATTGTTGTGCTTTTGTGTCCTCAGCCTCGCGATATCACCACTCTCTTTTTTGCTCATATATATCGGGGCGTCCACATTTTTCCACTCTTATACTGTGTGACTAGTTTGGGAGAGAAAACAGTGGAAAATGTCTCAGTACTCAGGAAAGGTGAGTACCAAAAACAAGGGAGTGTGATGAAGCAAAAACAAACAAAACACACAGCAAATAATGTAGAGTCAACCACAGATATTACTGCTGTGTGACATGGCTTAACGACAAGAATTCATGCTCAGAGTCTAACATTTTTTTTTGTGAGGGGAGAAATAATCGAGGGTTTTCTATTCAGATCGTGTTCTATGAGGGAAAATGTTTCACTGGAAGGAAGCTGGAGATCTGCAGCGACTGCGACAACTTCCAGGACCGCGGCTTCATGAATAGAGTCAACTCTGTGCGTGTGGAGAGCGGGGCCTTCATCTGCTTCGACCATCCAGACTTCAAGGGCCAGCAGTACATTCTGGAGCACGGAGAGTACCCCGAATTCCAGCGCTGGAATGCCCATAACGACCACATGGGCTCCTGCAAGCCAATCAGAATGGTAGGAGTGTGGGTGTGTTTGTATGAGTGTGTGTGTGTGTGTGTGTGTGTGTGTGTGTGTGTGTGTGTGTGTGTGTGTGTGTGTGTGTGTGTGTGTTGGGGGGGGGGGGGGGTGGGGGGAACCCAGGGACAGACAAATATTTTGTTGTTAGAAGAAAAACATTGGCATATGTGTAGCCTCATCTGTGTACATCAGATATTTTAGATGAATCAAAGTCAGAATAATGTGAATTGTGTTTATAATGATTTTTTCTTCTCAGTTTTTCCCTTCACATATAGCCTCCATGAGCTGAAAGAACACCACACACATTTTGAGCACTTGAGACGCAGACTGTGGGCACTACAGATCGTCCCCCACACGCACATTTAACCTTTAGATTTCTATAAGCTTGTTTGTGTAAGTCTTTGTGCACACAATGCATCACGTCACACAGAGAGAGAGATGGAGGCCTTGCTCCTTTTATTGCGATAACTCAGTGAGAGTGTTCGTGTCATTATCCTCCCCAGCACGGAGAGCATTACAGGATGGAGCTGTTCGAGGGAGACAACTTCACCGGCCAGTGTGTGGAGCTGTGCGAAGACACTCCTTTCCTGCAGGCTCGAGGACTCACCAAGAACTGCGTCAACTCCATCAAGGTTTATGGAGATGGAGGGTATGTGTCTCTGCACCAATGAGGAGTCAGGGTTTAATTAGCTGCATTGTTAAACGGACTCAAATTTCAAAGGGTAAATTTGCCACACCTATTCGTCTTAGCATTAATCTATAGTGTCCTAGTTACTCTTGAAAGGTAACTAACACACTGTCATCGTCTTAAAAGGGACTATTTTCTCGTTAGAGCGTAGGTTCAGAGGATGTGGTTCAAAATTCTATCTTTCAGTTTTTCAGAGAAACTGTCAAATAAGATATTTACATTTTTTTTCCATATGAATTTTTTTTTTGCATTTAAGGAAAAATTTGAATTTCAAATTGAATTTTGAAATAAACATGAAATACTTATGCCCTAATAAAAGGAAAGGATAAGTGCTTAGAGAAGAAACCCCTTGTCCCAGTTATGCCCATACTGTATGCCCTATTGATGAGTTACATAACCTCCCCTATGGTCCTTAGTTGCCATGCACCCAAACAGCATTGCCACCTATAACAGACACAGGCTCTGTTAATGTGAGCTATAGCCAGGTAGTAACAACGGCAATAGTACCTACCCTACCACATGGCCTTTATTGGCCCCCACAACTCAACCTTGTAGACGAATGAGGACATGAAATACTCCTAATAAGAACATTGTTCCTATAACCTGCACAGCTACAAGAAGTGACCCTTTAAATCACAAACATAACTCTAAGACAATAGGCCAATTGAAGGAGATGGTAAGAAGTAAACTTCACTCTCTATCGCCTGGATTACAATAGATGCTGCATTTCTAACTTTGTCTTAAATCTCTCTCAATACGACTTCTTCTCTCAATCAGCTGGGTGCTGCATGAGGAGCCAAACTATCGTGGGCGCATGTACATCGTGGAGAGAGGAAACTACACCTCCTTCACACAGTGGCAGGCGGAGAACCCCACCATCCAGTCTGTCCGCAGGGTAGCAAACTACTTCTAAAGCAGTCCTCAGTCTGTGGCAACGTTACTGCAGGGATGAGATCATCCACCGAGGGAAAACGCACCGTACTGTCAAGTAATCTCACGCTCACTCTGTGGGTCTGTAAAATAATAAAATATGAAGAAAATGTTTGACATTGCTCGCTGTTTTATTTTTGTATTGAATTATTCAACGGCTGCAATAAAGTAGTGAATCTACAACATCTTCAATCCTATTTCCATCTCTGTTTTCTGCTTTCGTGCTCGCTCCGTGTGAAATTCTCAGCTTAACCCTCACTTTATTATTCTAAGAATTGCTGCCAGCTATGATTCAGGTAATTGCTTTTTATTATATGCCATAAATAATAAAGCGTTAAGTGTTTTGCCTTGCACATTACCAAGTTACATGAGACACTCTGGATACTGCTAAACACATAATCAACGTTGGATGGATTGGAAGTATATTTGTTCAGGGAGGAAAAATAAATGGTTTAAATTGTGAAAAAAAATCCCTGAATAAAAATGCTCTGATTTAAACCAACCAAGACGGCAGCTTTTTAGCAGATATATTAACCACATGTAAGTGCATGTTTGGCAGCCAGCAGTGAACAATAGATCCTGTGTGCTCCCCACATATACAGTGAATAAATCAAGAGTGAAAGAGAGATATTGCACAGGTTGAAGCAGTAGCTCCACCTGCCCCGGGGAGCTCTGCTACCACCTAGTGTCATTTATCTATTTTACTGTGAAGTCGTGACGCTCACCTCTGGGCTTTTTCAGAGTTATTTCAACGGGGACTTTCTACAACAATGAAAAAACACACATAACAATATCTTCAGTTTCTTCTTCCTTTTGATTTCTCCCTGATTTCAAGTGTTTTGAATAGCCAGCTGCTGCCAGTGACCTGCTCCACTCAAACTGCTAAAATGATCTTTATCAGCCACAATATCATTACAGCTTCCATTTCTTATATTAGACACTTTGTTGCTCTTTCGTTGTCTATCTCTTTGTCTGGATGTTGCTTTTGTGTTTTTCACTGACTGCATAAAAAGATGGACAGCACATCTCAACTGCCTCCAGTTGTACAGAAGTGAAGCTAAAATATCACAGCTACAGGCGCTTACATATCGTGCTGGTGATGTCGTTTGGAGCCCGAGTCACGCAGTAGACTCTGCCATGGACATTTATTCAGGGATTTTTTTTGTGTATTTCAATGTTGAGTTTTTATGTTCTGTAAAGCTCTTTGTAATGCTGATTTTGATAAATGCTTTAGAAATAAACTTTTTGATCATAGGAAAAAATACATTCATAGTTTGATTGATTGAAAACAGAAAACTGAAGAATAAATCTTGTATTATTTGAAGTTAGTGTGGTCTTTTAAGGTCAATATTTTGTGCCCATGTACGGTATTTTCACGTGCAATGCAATAAAGGTAGTGACACATGTTGTCTTGAACTGCCTTTTACACCGCTCTTCACGCATGGTTTTTCTTTTTTATGCACCACTGCATCATTTCCCCACCTGCTCTCATTCTTCTTAAGGTCACACCGTGGCTGTGTCTCTCTTGGACCTTTAATGAGCACTCGTGTGCTTTCTCTTCCAACTGTCATGACAACAGATCATCTATCTTTACTGAGTTTCGCTCACAGCCTCTCTTGAGTTACAGGGGTCAATATTAAGGACAGCTTAATGAGGAAATGCTTTGTCTTGGGTTACACTCAGCAGCACTAGTTAAAGGGCGATTACCTGTAGCTAACCTTATTCCTGGCCCATTTGCTGCTGGAATTGGTCGGGTGTCACCAACATGCCATTAGTCTGAATGTCAAAGATGAGAAAGAGAAAGAGGGACCTGCAAGCAAGCAATAATGCTTAATGGCACCCTTACAATGTCATTGTTGATTTTCTATGTGGATGGGATTTATTTTCCCACACAAAGGACCTCAGTTATGAAAGAAAGTGTGTCTTTAGTGCTACAAAGTGAATTTGAGACAAGTTGTTTTTGTAGTTATAGACACCTAGACGTTTCATAGACATTTAATTTGATAAACAAACCTTGATCTCTTGCTTTAATGGAGGTAAAGTGTTTCTTCTTTAGTGTGGAGAAAACAAAAGAGACGCTTGCCAAATCAGGGAGGGAAAGAAATGGTCTTAACTTTAACCGACTATGGTAAAAAAAATGTTTAATGTAAATGTTGGGTGGAAGCCTTGATGAGACAGAACACAAACACATCTTTTGATAACATATATAATATCAAGAATGATCAGACATGAGTCAACAGAAGTAGACTACTTTTAGAAAAATACCATGTTTAGGTGTTTGGGGAACATTATTGTCATACAGTTCCTGTTTTGAGATAATAATAATTACAATGCCAAGTGATTCATCTAAGCTATGGTTATATTTCTATTCTGGTTTTGCCATCTGTGACACATTTTAAATTTAACACTGCCTGTGGGTGAAAAGGATAACTGGAATAAATACATTTTTAAAAAAGCATTTGTTGTATCATTTTACTTCAAATTAGGTCAGCTATTTTTAGCACTAACACTTATGCATAAAAGATCATCGAGATAGAAAATCTTACTAAATTATCATAGTGTGTGTAAGACATATTATTTATCTCCCCAAAAGCTACTTTATTGATGATGACTTAAGAGCTAACAAATGTATTATTCAAATGTGTATTCAAAAGTGAATAATTGTGCATGGCTCATAGTCATCAGTTGGCTTTGTGTCTTGTAGTTCAAATATTACGAAATATAATTTAATTACACGCGTTATTTTGCACAAGAGGACAAATATGTTTCGCTATTATTTGCGTGAAAGTAATAAAATTAGCAGGCAGTAAAGGAAAATCTCGATTTAAACCTCGGGCTAAATGATACAGAACCGAAAAAGTAGACTATAAAATACCAACTCCGACCACAGAAAGTGCAAGTGTAGTATTTGCTGGCACTGGGACAAAAAAACAACGTGGTGAACGTATTTCTATCCCCAGCGCCTAATATTCCGTATTTTAATATTTTTTGGGATAGAAACCGTGCTAAACATCGATACGAGGCAACACATAAAGTCATTTCAGGCGTGTATCTACGGTGTCGTGTAAAGGTCACTCGCTGAGCTGCCTGAATTCCCCTCTTTGTGTTTACACATCCGGGTTTCCCTGTTTGCAGCCCATTCCCCATTTAGAAGCCATTTTGGACACAGATCAGTAACATGCATGTAAACCCCGACCGACCTCCCGATGCAGCGGTGCTACTATCCAACTGAATAACCTCAAAAAAGAGCGCCGGGCTTTCGTCTCCGCTGGTTTTAAGGCGTCCCGTTCGGTTTGTGGATCCACTTCAGAGGCGACATGCCGCACCTTGTACTGGACTAACAGTCTGCCAGTCAATTAATCGCTCCTCTCTTTTCTTGCAACATTGTTGCAGCGACGCGGCTATTGACACGCGCTGTGGTGGAGCTGCTGCTGCTGCTGGTGGTGGTTAGGCTGCCGAGGGGACCGGAGGCCTGTGGTCGTTTTGATCCTGGACTGATGTTTTGGACAACCTGACTTTTTAATGTTCGCGACGGAAAGCGGGGGAAAATCTCTGTCCTGTATTCGAAACGGAACATGTCTTTTTCATGGCTGACTTGTTCACTTCTTCTGGGAACTTTGTGCGCAGGTAAGAGGCTATTGTTGAATTTTTTTTGCAACAGTTTTTTTTTAAGCGAGTCCGTCGTGTCGTCCCGAGTCAGAGGGATATTTTTGTGAGTGTGTATGTGTGGGTTTGAAATGCCGACCCGCGAATGAGTTTACGATTGTTGGGCGGATTAAACTTTGTTGGCAGCCGATACCGACGTTCAGCTGTGGGGGATTTTATTCTCCAACCCCGTAATCGCCTTTTCCTCTGTTTGCCCCCTTCAACACGTCTATTTCACCGGGGTCATTATTTCCTCAACACCTTCGACTCTTTAAGTCGCACACAAAGCATAACGCTTACATGAATTCAGTCACATATTGCTGGGAATTGTCACAGAAATATGCCCCTAATGTAGAACTGTTGCGTTTCCCTGTCGCCTTTCTTTTTTAACAGTGGCAGGAATAGAAGGCAGCAGCTGCATCAACATCCTGAAACCTTAGATTGTACATCTCAGGTCGTGTTTGTGGTCGCAGCTCGAACAAGATCCTCTGAAAACACACTTTCTCCCTCTCTTCTCTCTCTCTCTCTTGTCATAAATCAATTTGATTTGAAGAGACAGCAGCTGTGATCTTGAAGCCAGGTCTTTGCCCTGAATTGAGGTTACTGTTACACATCTCCGTTTCCACACACACACACACTCAAGACTGTGAATTTGTACCACGTGAAATTGAGCGTGAGGCTTGTTTTTCTTTTGTTTGCAACTCAAATGGGATGTTTTACTGTTTGCCTAAAACGTGATTACCTCCACCCCTTTGGTTTGGCAGCCCATACTGAAACCACATACGTTTCCTGCAAACAATAACACCCAAGTCTGTCACCTCATTTGGCTTTTATCCTCGAACTGTGATACAAACGTCATTGATGCACAGCTATAGCGATGGACCTAAGGCTTTATGGTTTATAGATTAGAGTGTATAGTAAGCTTCTTCTCCAGAATTCATGTTGTTGTGGTGTAAGCCTCGGTTAGTGACAGAGGGAGGGGGGTTGGGGAATGATCTTGTAGTAAAAGTCCTCACGGATCATGTGACCACAGATATCAGAAATGCCATCTCGGCTCAATGGAGCATCACTGCTGTGTGTGTGTGTGTGCTCCTGTGTGTGTGTGTGTGTGCTCCTGTGTGTGTGTGTGTGTGCTCCTGTGTGTGTTGGGCTTACTACCTCTCATCCTAAATAACGAGCACAATGTTTGGCGCTTTCATGCATCCCTGTGTGCTCTGGTACGAACCCATTGTATGCTGCTGGACAACTAAATGCATGTATGTGTAAGTGGATGCGTGCCTGAGTGTGTGTAATGGGTCGGTGGGGGTAACGCTGGGGGATGGGCAGCTCTCCTATAGGCAGGGATTTAAAGAGACACGCACTATTTTTTCTGTGAACAAAGATAACTGTCCAAGCTGTGCTGTGAATGACATGTACGCACGTTATATGGTATTTTATCCATTAAAACACCTCGTACATGT